ATTGATTTATTTGCAGAGCGAGCAAATGTAAATGATTTGACTAAGGCAAAACGAAATAAATGATGCAAAAGAAAATCAGTTGGTAAAGTTACTCTTTGGAGACCACATCAACAGAGAGCAAGCAGGTAATTAATCACGTTGATTTGAAAGCAGGGCAAAGAAATAATAAGTAAACGAGTTGGGGAAGATATCACCGGTTTAAAGCAGTAGTGTGTCTGCAAGGGAGTTTTCTATGTCGGTGACCGCAAATTTGTAGTACAAAATACCATATCTATAGAGGGCTTCTGAGCTCTTCCATATCCACAAAGAGCTCTTCTCACGATTTACACAAGAATACCTCTCCAGTGAAGTCGCCAAATGTGGGTACTTGATTTTCAGGTGGATTCCAGATCATCACAAAGTAACAAATGGTGAGATAAATCTTGCAACATGATGAAATCCAAGGTGAATTGAGAGAGGTGGAAGCCCAGGCAAACAAGAGAGAGAGAGAGAGATGGCAGTGTATATGTGTGAACACCATTGACTCCTTGATCCATCCTTTAGGGGTTGTGTAGAGAACCCATTCTGAGAGAGAGAGAGAGAGAGAGAGAGAGAGAGAGAGAGAGAGAGAGCGCTTAGAGCTCTCGGTCTAGGAGGAATTTTCCTTCCTTTTTTGTCTGCCCCATTTTCTTGGCCTTAAGTCATTTCCTTTTATAGGCCAAGTAAGGGTGGGTGATGTCATTGATGACATCACATTTGGGTCCATTGACAAAATAATTAAAAGAGATTAATTTCTCAAATAATTATAAAGCCATGTTAAATAAGATGGAGTCAAATGCTCGGGAGTCAAAATGGTATCTCTCTCTGCAAGTCTGGCCAAGTGTCGACTCGGCGAACCCTGGACTTCAGCCACCAAACCAAAACCTCCTCAGATCCCAAGGAATCCTGAGTCCTGCTCCCAACTCAGGTCTTTGTTCTTCTATTCAAAGCATGTTGATGCCGTGACAACTTTAACCGTTGACTAGGTTATGTGGGCCATCGCTACTGATGTGGTGTAGCTCGTTGACCGTTTTGACCAAGCTGTGTGAGTCATTGCTGATGATGTGGCGTTTACCATGTGGACTCGAAATATAGGTATCAACAGTCTCATAAGTCAGATTTTGTTTATTTGCCTTCTTTTCTTTTCATCAATTTTGTTCCACACAAAATATGTTTAAAATTTGCAAGGGTTTGCTACAGAGACAAGATGGGTTGCAACGTAGAAGCAGGTGCAGAGTGCACCCATAATTGTCTATTGATTCATGGGAAGAAGAAAGGCCTGTCACCCACCATTACCTCATTTATTAAACTCATGATTGGCGATGATTTTTCTAAAGCTATTGTTGAAATATGTGGCTCAATTTCTGCCAACTCACCATGTAATTTGCTCACCCATGTCATCATCAAGTCTCATCACCCATGACATCATCTTCTTGGCCTCCAAGTATATGTGTTCAACAAGCTTTTTTCTTGGTCTCCAAGTCCAGCCTATGCATGCGTGGTCACTAAGTCCAAGAACAATGATGACATTTTGGCTATAAATAGCCTTGATCTCTATGGTTCAATCATCCAACAATTGAAAGTGTTTACTCAATATAGAAAGTGAAAGTGTGAGAGAGTTTTGGGTGTGAGCCACTTAAGTATTGTATCTCTTTATTTCCATAGTGAAATATTGTTCTGTCTTCTCTCCGTGGACGTAAGCATAGTCGAACCACGTAAATCCTTATCTCGTTTGTGTGTATGCCATTTTAATTTTCTTGTCATTAATTTTCTCTTTTGTTCTCAAAACTCCTATTTGATTTTTTTTTTTTCATAACAGCTATGGTATAACTTCACATCTTTTTTCTCTCTCTCTCTCTCTCTCTCTCTCTCTCTCTCTCTTAGTTAATTTAATTAATGTGTTGCTTTATATGATTTTAATGTTGCTTCTCTGTTCTTTTTTTCCTCTTACTTATTACACATTGATTCACCAATTTCTTCTTTCTCTGTACATATCCACTATTTGTTTGATCTTACACTTCTTTTAACAGTCTCTTTTTATTATTTTTTTGCTTGTTAAATTTATATCTCAAAATACATGTTTGTCTACTTTTGACCTTTGGTATTGATTTTTATTTTACTATTTATTGCATAATCTAATGCCTTTCAATGTTTAATTTTGAATTTGTTTTAGTTTTCGTTAAATGGTGGGTCTGCCTTTCATAATTGCCATTTTTTTAGGAAAGATGGTATTTTGTGTGTTGCACATGCTTATTTGCGCATGGAAATCAGTATTGGATTTGATCATTATTTAGCTTGATTTGTCGTCTGCTAAAATCTGTGGCACAGTGAACAATCTTGTTGTAAGATTGAGACCACAACTGGTTTTGCTGCATCATATTATGTGAATTTGTTGTATCAACAATTGTGGTTGGACAAGTTTGAATTTGTGGTATCGAGATACTATTAACTACTGGATGTTGCGTGCCATTAAGTAAAGCATGTTGCGTTGAACACTTTGAATTACTAAACAGAATCTAACGTTGGTATTGTATCTAGTTAAATTTATTTTTCAACCTTTTTTATACAAGTTTTGAATATATTATTGAAAGAAGGAAATAGTTGAGGACGAGAGGGGGGAGGAAACAGTTCTGAACTGGCTTGAACTTTCTTTCTGTCAAAGATTCTTGGTGTGCCATGCATATGTTGTGTTTTCTCTGTCTTTTCATAGTAGATAGATGGGTCCTATGAACTCTGTGGGAGTTTTCTGGTTACCATATACGAATAATTGAAATAGTAGAAATCAAATGTACTGTGATAGTAGAGGAGTTTTCTGGTTGTGATTTACGAATAATTGATCACTAATTATTAGCAAAGTCAAATTACACTAGCCAAATGAAATAGTGGAAATCAAATAAATGCCCATTCAGTCTGTGAAGTTGCAATTTATAAAGATGTTACTACATTTGTTTGACACGGAGTTTTATTCCAGTTAAAACTAAGGACTTGTTTATCTGAGAAGCTAAGTGGATTGATTATTAATTATTTTATGGGTTAAATACAGTAACCTTCTGTGAGGTTTTTCCAATTACACGTGGATGAAACTTTTGAAAAATCTTGCAATTACCTCCCCTCTAATGAATAGTGGCTTAATGATGTTAACTTTTTGGGTGATTTTAGCTTTTATACATCGTGTAGTGGCAACTTTGTCCACACTTATAAAAGCAACACTTGGTTTTCTGTTCACACTCTACCCCCAACGATTTCAACCTCCTCCTGCCGTCGCCACCACCACAACCAACTAGTTTCCGACTCCCATTTTTTCTTAGGTTTGAACAACAAAATGGGATCCTGATGTAATTGAATACTAAGAAACCTCCAACTTCCCGATCATGATCCAATGAGAAAGCATGCCATCCCTGCTGGAACACAATGGAGCCACTAATATTGGATATTTGTTACTATCCACCATCGCCCAATTTATCCTCAAGATTAGTTTTCTGACCAACCAATTCTGATTTTAAAATCCCAGTTCATAATTTAACCCAACCATCTCTCTCTCCTCTCTCCACTCCCTCTCTCTCCTTTCCACCTCATCCCACCATACTCAACGTCTTTGTCCGTCCCTCCAATGAGAAATTTCTGAATTACAGCTCATTTCGGCCGACCCACGAATAGTAGAAACTCGCTCGGAATAACGCTGACTGAACAACAAGTTAACAACAGGTGCATCACATTCCAGTAATTCATGGTCCAAGTTTTGATTTTCGAAACCCAGTTCATAGTTTTAATCATGTCTAGAGTTTTCTTCTTTTTTTTTTTTTTGTTTTTTTGAAAGGTCATGTCAAAAATTTTCAATATAACTCAGATATTGATTGTGTAAAACTTAATAATTTTAGTTCTAATTATGGGGTTGTTCAAGATGTAGCTGAGTCTGATTCCATGAATGAATTGAAATTATAAAATTTGGGTGAATCTGTTCTATGGAACAAATTTGAAGGTTGGGTTGATCAGTATGAGAAGGATTTAGAGTATTGTGGCATTGGGTTTTGACCTATATTTAGTAAATTTTGATTCAGATGGTAATGTCAAAAAGGCTGTTGTTAATGAGGAAGAAATCTTGAGAAGTGGAATTGAGCATTCGTTGTATAACCAGAGTGAATTTGAGGACTTAACAGAAGTGAAATCAGAGATCTCTCATGCAAAAATTTTAGCTAGAGAAATAGAGAGTGGGGGTTGCATGTTTCAAAGAATGAAGTTTTTGGGTAATGAAATTAGATGATAAATTGGCATCATGTGTATATTCTAGTACTTGGGCTACAAAATCTATGAATTTCTATAATAAAGTTCTGGAAATCAGAGCAATGGCAAGGTATGCACGTGAGATCCTTTTCCAAGTGACAACAATGAAGATGATCTGACTGTGTGGCCTAGGCAAAAAATTGTCTAACTGTGTATGTAAATATGGGTTTATATATCTTGTTCTCTTCAGTTCAGTAATTCATTGTTCTTGTTCAAATCGGGTTTAGGTGCATGGCTTACCAAGAACAATTATATATATGGTAATAAAGTCATTTCAGATGAAGGGATGGGCATTTTGGTCAGACTATGCAATGTTTTGGACAGAGGGAGGTATTTGTAATAATGAGCCAAAGTTGAGGGGAACATGGTGCAAATTTTTTTAAAAAGTTTCATCCATGTGTTATTAGGGTGGTCACGGTCAGTGTATTTAACCCTTTTTTATTTGGACTAAAAGTATATTCTTTTCCTTCAACACAGTTGCGCTTGTTTAGTTGGGTTTTTCTGTTGACTGCATCAATGTTAAATAATATTCTAGATTTTGTTACGAGTATCTGGATGTGCATGAGATGGATGAAGTCACTTCTCTGTTTTTGCATTGGAAAGGACCTTAATGGCAATGATGTACATACAGGCATTTTCAGTTCTGGAGATTTTTCTTTACTATCCATAAATCTTTTCTAAATTGTGCCATTCTTTTGCAGTTCTTGCCTCCTAAATTTGCTCGAACTGTGTCAGCTTTGGTTGGTCAGAAAACTTATCTGGAGGATGAAATTGGGCAGCGTTGGATAGTAACAGTATCCAAGATTAATGGCTCCATTGCCTCGGAAGGGATGGCATGGTTTCTCATTGGACCATGATCTGGAAGTTGGGGATTTCTTAGTATTTAATTACATCAAAGGATCCCATTTTGTTGTTCAAATATTTGGGAAAACTGGGTGTCAGAAGCCAGTGTTCTCTGAAAAGAGCCATGGACGTAATGGTCCGGCGGCTGAAGCAATTGATAATGGTGCGGCTGAAGCAGTTGGAAGTCTCTGAAACATCTCACTTTGCAATGAATTCAAGAAAATGATGATTCTGTGAGAATGGATAAAATGATATTCATGTCTAGAAAAGATTCTGGCAGTGGAAATACCTCTGGGCATCTCCTGGACACATCTGCTGCAGAAGCTGCAAGAAATAGAAACAGCCATGCTGAGATATCGAATATGGTTATAAAAGAATGCCAGAATGCAAAGAAAAAGAGAGTTGCACGATCAAGTTAGTTACTTTATTAATTATGTGTGATCTTAGAAGTCCTATGTACATATATATATTTTTTGTTTTATCATTTCCTGTATCATCATTATATATAGATATATATATATATTTTCCCTCACATTAAAAATGCTGAACCATTAGCAGGCAGTCATGGAGTGTTTCAGAAGGAAGGTAGTCCGAGTGTCCTGCAGAAATATACTGGATCTTCAGAGTTCTGTGACCTTCCAGTCTCTATTGCAATGCAGAATTGTCAATTTGGTTTGTGTTCTGTCCTTGTTACCAATTTGCATGGTGGTTTGTTGGAGCAGGATTCTGTTGTTTCAAAAGCTTCAAATTTTATTTCATAAATATTGTATTTGATCTTTATCCAATAAATACGAATTAATAGCTATATTAAACAGGTGAATGGATGCAAGTGGTTGAAAAAGAGAGAGAAATGTGCAGTCATGAGGAGACGAGACATGGTATCATTTTGCTTTTACTTCTTTTATTTTGTTTAGAACACAAATGTGCACACCTTAGGTTTTCCATCTCAGTATCAAATACTTGAATGAAATACAAGAAGGCAACCAAAGGTCATCAATGAGTGCGGGCAAGGTTCAAGTTCGGCTATAAACGATAATAATAAAGGAGACAAAGTGGTGAAAACTGAACCTCTTGATTTGATTGTTTTTTCCTCACTGGATGCCACCAGTTCGGTGGTGGGAGATGGTCAATCATTTCTTGTATGTTACTCATTAACTCATTCTGCTCAATGTGTTTGCCTTTGTGCTCTGTTTTTCTTGCATTTTTTTTTTTTTGTTTTTCTATAATCAAAACTAAATAGCTGAGTCAAGAATAGGTTTACAGCACAAAGTCATTCTCTGCTGGCATATTATATTTTTTTATTTTTCTTTTTTTAATCATATCATTTGGTAATAATTGTTCTATGAGTTATGTTGTTCCCTTATTTATTTTATTTGTGAGGAATAATCTGTCTTAATTCAATCCTTGTATGTTGATTACCTTTATTTTCTTGACCAGAACGGTAAAGAAGTTAGTCTAAGATTGTAGGCTTAGATTGAAAACCTTGGATTAGAGGAACATTGACAGGTAAAGGGATGAAGTTAGTCGACGCTACCACTAGAAGAAAGTTCATGTAGCTTGTTTACGCAAGACTAAGTAGGTATGAGAGAAAGAGAATTGAAAATACATGATATAAACTTTATTGCATTGGAAAAGATAGAGAAAATGGTTTAGGTATAGTTTTAGATGAGAATTTAAAAGACAATGTTAGAATTATTAAAACAATAATATAATGATATTTGTAAAAAATATTGAAGCACAATTTTTTTTATAAGTATATTAAATCAGAATTTTGGTAACATATAGATGAATTAATTCATAAAATACTTGAAAGAGAGAAATTATTTATTAGGGGAGACTTTATTGGTCATGTGGGAAAAAATCTTGGAGTATATGAAATAATACATAGGATAAAATCATATACTTTTCTAAGTAGAAAAGTACCTGCAAAGATTGTAATAGCACTCTAGACGAGAGTTTGACATCACTACATTGGTTGAAGGTCTTGCACGTGTATTAAAGGAATATCAATGAAGCGAATAGGATATTAAAAGAAATGACATGGAATTTAGAATGTGAAACTAAATCATTGTTAAATAAGATGGCTGAAAGTATTACAGAATAGAAATTCCATCATTGCTAGATCAGACACAAAAGCCTTAGCTGACTGTCTCATCCTCTTTTCGCAACAGATTTTCCAACCCATACGATCGATGAACAAGGACATTGGGGATAATCATAAAACAAAAAGTGAGTATTGTAAATTTTGGCCAAAATTTAGAAATGGAGAAACTTTTGCAAAATACAGATATGCATAGATAATAGGTTAAATAGTTGTGAGAGGAGCTATGTGTAGAGTGTTGGATGATATTTACTATAATCTAGGTATAAAGGGCAACAAGAAGAAAACATACAAACTTGTTGAGGGAGAGGATAGATAGATAGATAGAGATTGTATCATTATCAAGTGCATCAAAATTGAGGGTCTAAAGGTTTTAGTCAAAGATGATACTGCTAGGATTGGTGTCTCAAATTCTCTCAATAATTAGGTTTTCTTTTTTGAGTCCTATTATGTATGGTACTATGGTAATTTCCTGTAAAGCAAGTCTTGGCCTCTAAGGAAATTTCTTTTTGGGCAAGTTTTGGTCTCTAAGGAAATTTAATCATTGGCCACTAAAAAATTTGTTTTTGGGTTTCTCTATTATAGAGATTAGAGACCTAGATTATTGTTGTGAGGAATTCAAAGGGAGAATTGAGTTGAGAGAGAAGAAGAGTGCATGTAGTAATCTTCATATTTGAAAAGAGAGGAGGAAGTCATTATTAGTAAAATATTGTATGTTGCAAGTTGATTGTTTGTTTTGTGATTTGATTTCCATGCTTGGAATGTGATTTGCTTCCGCTATGCCGAACGAAGGGGATTCAATTCCTGGGTTCTTAGAGACATAATATGATGGACTTCTGAAAAGAAAGAAGTTACTAATAGATATATTGATGTTCTAAAGACAGGACTGATGAGACAACGGCCATAATTAGAACAGTTAAAGGGAAAACAAGTGCATTCCCCATTATTATAGGTCTACATTCAAGGATCGACATTAAGATCATATCTTTTTGCCTTAGTTATGGATGAACTAATAAAACAAATATAAGATGAGGTTTTCATGTATTTTGCTATTTGCTGATGATATTAGTGAAAAGTGATAAATTAGAGGTTTGGAGAGAAGTTCTAGAATCAAGAGGTTTTGAGATACTTAAGACTAAAACTGACTACATGGAACATAAGTATAGTAAAACTAGCAATAAAAGTAGGGATGTAGTCTAGGGAGTCGAGAGGTACCAAAAAGCAAACATTGTTTCGCCTAGGCTCAACTATACACAGAGAGGGAAAATTGAAGATGATATTCCTTATAGGATAAAGCTAGATGGATGAAATGGAGTAGTGCTCCTGGCATCTTGACTCTTGAGTGATCGGCGTGGCATATACCTCTAAAAAAATTATAAACAATTGCTATACAAACTTTATTGGACAGAATTTTGGGTGACCAAAAAACACCATATTCGTAAAATGTGTTGAAGAAATACTAATGTTAGGGACGGATGTGTGGTAAGATAAATAATAGAAATGAACAAATTAGAAGTTTGAAGTAGGATCGATTGGAAATGAAATGAGAGAGAATTGATTAAGATGGTTTGGCTGCGTCCATGGAAGGCCAATAACTATATTGGGTAGCATATGTCTTCTTTTGAAGTTACGGCTTTAGATTGAGCATAATGACGAAAAAACTCTGCCAATGATAATTGGTCACAGAGGTTCTGCAAATAAATAAATAAATAATAATAATAATAAATCTGTTTTACTCTGTTAAGATAAGATGGATTACAACTTAAAAGGAACCAAACACCTATTCCTTCTACCTATACCATCATATACAGTGACGGACCTAGAGAATTGCATGAGAGGGGGAGGGGTATCATCAGAAATTGAGTGGGTGCATTTTTAAGATTTTCACAAAATTATATGTAATTTGTAAAAAAATAAAAAAAAATTGTGGGGGCGGCTGTCCCCCCACTGAGGCCTTAATAGGTCCGTTCCTGATCATATACCCTTTCCTATATAATTATAAACTAAAAAATTAGAGATAAAAAAAGGTAAATTGGATGGTGAAACAGTTTAAAAGCCAACTATCAACACTGTTCAAAAGACAGTTTTTGTGTATTCCTATATATTCAGTCTCTCTCTCATTCTATACTTACATTTCTTTTGCTACATGAGTATCCTTTATTTTTCTAGCATAAGATTGGGCAATGGATGTTATCCAATTACCTTGTCTCCTTACATTTATAGTATGTCTAATCTTTTCAGACCAACTAAACTGTTAACCAGCTCGTCTAACGTTTTTGGATTAAAAAATTAATAAAACAAGGATTAGGAATGTAGAAAAGAAAAGAAAAGAAAAAAAGGGGGTTCGGACCACCAAAATAAAGAAATTGGTTTCTTGAGACACTAAACTAACCATAACATTAAGAATGTAGAAAAGAGAGAAAAAATCGGTGTCTTACGATATGTACTTGAGGATGAAATTAAATCATGGATCTCGAGTACCCAAAATTGTGTTGGAAACATTGAATTTCTTGTGAACCAGGTTTTGATGATTCTTTGTAAATCCTTGCTTGGTGTATGGTTCTAAAATATATTCAAACGGTTATAATACCATTAATATATATGAGGAAAGAGAAGTTGATTTAGCTATGATTCATAACCAAACACATTCTTGGTGGGACCATTCCAAACTTTTCTATTGTCGGGAATGTTGATGACCTACACTGGAAATTGCAATTGGATGATTGTAATCATCTAGCCGTGCTACTTACTTGATTTCCTCTTCTGGATGTTTCCACTTAATGACTGGTTGTAGTCCCTATACGTATCACACTGGTGCACCAGTGAGCTGATTTTGGGGATTCTTTGAACTGTGCAGGAGTTGCCAACAAGCTTGCCATCAATTTCATTCAAGGGTAGGACAGTAGTGGATTATAAGAATTTTGTATTCCTTGGAGATCCAGTTTCAAGATTGTGGACAGTTCTATGCCATTCGGAATATGGTTTCAAGGTTCTGGAAAGTGGGTCGGAAGGATTTAGCAAAGCGAACAACCTTCAACCAGGATATCAATGTGTTTGCATTTTCAGGAAGTAGGATGAATTTCAAACCCTTTAAGTTCCTACAGCGACGAGATTGGGTGTGTGGGGAGCACAAACAAGCAGAGCTACAGCCACAACACTATCCTCCAATCAAAGCTGCAAGAACTCAGGAAACAGTTTCCTCGTGCTGTTATCATCTATGCTGATTACTGGAACGTCTACCAAACAATCATGGAGAATCCAATAAAAGTTTGTTTCAATGAGCTCTTCAAAGCTTGCTGTGTATCTGGTGGAGGGCCGTACAATTTTGATGTGTGTGCTGCCTGTGGTTCTCCGTCCTCGAGCTCCCGCCAGAACCTTCCCAGCACAACAATTAGGATGGAGTTCATCTCACAGCAGCAATGCACAACTTTGTAAACTAGGGAAAAAAAAAAAATGTACAACTTTGTTTCTGACTCACTTCTCAATGGAACATTCAGTCACCTTCCATTCAGTTACTTGTTAAGCAGGAAACATAAATCAGGATGTAACTGATTACCGTCATATTAGATATGTAGTGTTAGTAGTTGCTGGAAAAATGTAGCAACAAAGTTGATATGTATAAATTATAAACTATTTAGTAGAAGGTCTTATTGATTTTCTCATATATAAAAGAATTAGAACATTCATGAATTATTATTTATTTATTTATTTTTTTAAATCTTAGCAAATTAGGTAGGGAGCTTCAAACATGGGCATACCTACTTGGGAAACTGTTCTACCAACTAGGCTATTGGATAATGCTCGAACATTTAGCAACTCGGCTATCTGAAGAGAATATCAAGGCTATACTTGAATGGCCCGCATCTATTACGATTGCACAATTGAGATCATTCTTTGGATTGTCCATTTTTGGAACATTTGTCTATACAACACTTCGACGGTCTCATAAATCTGAAGGTTCCTGATGTAACACTAACATTGAAGTGCTTGGAGATACTTAATTTATTGCTTTAATGTGGAAAGTATTGAGATTTCTACAATGAATCTCCTATCATTTAAGTATTTCGAACCAAAAATAAACTTTCAATTTAAGAATGTCAAGCCCCCTTGATTTGTATATTGGGGTGACTATTGCAAATATGTAATATATAAGTTTTTGGATATAATTAAAAAATGTTATCAAAGAAATTTTTTTATTGCCTTTATTTATTTATTTATTTATTAACCGCATTAAATTCATGTAGCACACTTTAAATCTAGGGTATAGGCTGTTGTTGGGAATCTAACTTCTTAAGATGACGACTTTCAGTAATTTGTTATCATATTGACAGTGAATGAATTATCAAATTTATCCATGGTGGGTCCATAGTGATATGATGTATACCTTTTATAATTTCAATGTAAGAAGGTTAAAATAGAAATGTGAAAAAAAAAAAATGAAAATCTGGAACATTTTTTTTTTTTTTTTTTTGAGACAGAAGGAGAATGTTTTAAAATATTATTTGGCCATTTGAGTTACTTTACCAACTTCTAATAATATTGTAAAGACTAGATATGTTTACAAAATTTGAGAAAACCTATTTATTATTTATAGTTTCATTGATGAAGTAAACTTTATGCCGTCTGTTTTTTATTTGGGTTAATTACAATGACACCCTCTGAGAAGATTTATCATATTGACAGTCATATATAAGTTAGTCATTTTTTGAACAATGACACCCCTCAAGTTTGAAAAAGTTAACAAATACACCCCAATGGTCACTTGCCACCTCTGACATGTAATGAATTGACATTGTTGTCCTTTGACTTATAAATTGACCAATTTAAATAATGAAATTACCTTGTTATCCTTGTATAATATTTATAAAAATAAAAAATCCAATCCCAATACCATCTATTACCGGTCATACAGTGGTTACTCTATCACCACCGTGAAGCTCTCTCACCTAAAATCACCACTTCAATTAGTCAAAACCGGAATCTTCAACACACACACACACCAAACCTTCAACATACATACATATAATGGTGGCCATTGCCGTCGGCGCCGACTCCACCACCGTGAAGCCTTCTCACCCAAATCACCACCACTTATCCAAAACCCGAATCTTCAACACACACACACACACACACATATACCTCCAAGATCAAAACGGTGGCCACAACGGCGGTGCTGACTCCACCACATCCTTCGCCCCTAAGCTCGAGAAAGATCCGAAGAAGCGCATAGTCATCACAGGGATGTGCCCAACATTGATGCCGCTGCCAGATCCGAGGTTTCAATGGCAACGGCTTTCTTGGTGGTGATAGTGGCAACGATGGTAAGGGATTTAAGCGCAGAGAGGTCTAGGGATTTGATGGTGGGTTTGAGGGAGAGGCCGTGGGTTTGATTAGGGTTAGGGTTTGAGAGGCCATGGTTGTTATTCGTTGCCTTTGTTTTTTCTGTTGTGGAGGACCGGCGGTTATGGTTGTGGTGGTGGTGGTCGAGGATCGGCGGTTGTGGTGGTGGTGGTCGAGGACCAGCGGCTGTGGTGGTGTCTATGTTCAGAATATTATACATGTATAACATATATATATATTTTATATACTATCAATTACAGATAGAGAGAGGAAATAGAGAGAAAGGGAGTTGGGTTAGGTTTCTGATGGAAAAGTGAGAGGTAAGAGAGGGAGAGTGTCAGGGTAAAAACGTCATTTAGGATTTCTAATATTTAACCATTTAAATTAATAAAATATTGAAGGGTAATCTTGACTGTTCACATCTTTTAAGGGGCTGTTTGGATTCAATTTTTGACAGGGGATGTCATTATTCAAAAAATGTCTAACTTATATATGATTGTCAATATGACAAACCTCAGGGGTGTCATTGTAATTAACCCTTTTTATTTTGAGGAAATTTGGCAAATTAATTTACAAATTTATATTTAAGGATTAAACACAAAAAACTCCCCTCTACTTTCGGTATAGTGCAAAACAATCCCTGTGTATTATAAAACTCCCTTATACTATTAATTTGGTGTAATTACCCCCTCTTCATATAAAAAGACTTTAATACCCTCTTTAATATAAATAAAATAATATTAAAAAAAAATTAGGCAATGTAAAAATTTTGGATAATTTATTCTTTTCTTATTTCCTCTCTCTTGGTTATTGGTACTCCATATCTAAGCTTACCCTTCGAGCCACTATCTGTCTACCTTTATGTATTTGACTTGAACGAACAACATACTTTAATTTCGAAAAAATGAATTCGACTTTTTCCTTTGTCGTCAACAATATTCTGTTTTCTGTTACATCCGAGCTCCTCTCTTCCAAGTTAAAAGATTTCCAACTGCGATCTCATAGCATGGTTCATAAGACCTCGCCCATCAACTCAAAATCCCTAATGGAGGGGTAAATTCAGTGTTGTATCCTTCTCCAATTGGAGTTTTCAATTTTGTCATTTTAGATTCTAACAGACAAGTTTGTATATATATATACGGACTACTAGTGATTATTGGATTGACTATGATGTATACGTATATCGGATCTCTGCTTAGACTGTAGTAGAGTAGAACTTGTTTGTGGGCCTGACCCACCATTATTTTTCAGGAGTTCGTTAGGAGTAGAGGTTGTTTGTGCTGAGCGGGGATCAGTCTACTTCATTCTTCCGATGCTGCATAGGAGTTCCTTTATGATTCAATTTCCTGATTTAGACAGTTATTGCTGTCATTTGTTTAGTTTGGATTTTCTAGGGGTCCACACAGTTTGGATTCTCGAGTTGTATTTTGAAGGATCAGTTGTATCAGAAGAGTTTATTAATTAATGAAAATATATTCTGAGATTTATTATTAGATTATCATTTTAGTTTTTTGTCAGCATTTTATTTATTCTTCTTTATACTTTTTGTACTCTGTGTTCGTTTATTGCCTATTTGTTTTTGATATCCTCGGGTATTCGGTCGTAGGCCTGGCCAACCCGCATTCAAAAATCTGGGGGTATCACAATTCTGGCCAAACATCCCAACATAGATCTGACGAGCGAGATCGAAGGGAGAAACTGATAGCATGCGGCCACGTTATTACAAGAACGAAGGGATTGAACCAAATTGCATCCCACCTCAATCACAATTGAAAGAGATGAAGAAAGAGGTGACAAGTTCATCACTGACAAACAATCCCCTTCCACGTCCACGTTGGTATAGCCCTAGTCTTGGATAAGAGAGAGGCATATATAAAGGATCAAAGTTTCGACCATATCCGTTGAATTGACAAACTGTAAAATATATATATATATATATATAGGCATCTTTCATAAGACGACCCAACGAATCTCTAAGAATGATTCCACCTCCACATTTCCAGCAATCCACAAGGATACATCAAAATTCAGCTTCACTCTATCAACTATTGGGGGAAACAGAGAAAGAGTAAGAGCAGTATCCACCTTAGGCAAAGCAAGCATGACATGTTTGAGCCATGATCTTAGAAAATTCATGAAAAGCTGAGATGGCCTTATTGACCACCTCCAAAGCATCAATGCAAAAGTGCTCTAAGTGCAGGTCGTTTCTCACCTTCCAAATATGCTAGCAAATAGAAGCCCCCAAATTGCAAAAATCTCTCAACATTGTATTAAATAATGTTGTCAATAGGTCAAATTTCATGGGGGTCATTGTAATTATTATTTTTTCATTAATTAAATAATGTTGCTGTTGGTGGGCATTTAAATCTAATATTTATTTTTAGAATTTTACCTCATTAGATTTAAAATTTTGAAATAAACCACATGATTATCTTCTTCATTTTTTAAAAAATTCACAAATTCACAAATGGACTCCACCGTACCTATAGCTTTTTCCATGTATATAATATTCACAAATGGGCAATTGGGCCTTGAGTGGGATAAATTGTATCTCACTTGAAATATTGGGTTGGAGCAGGTTCAAATCTTTTAAACCTCGGAATTATTGCTCATACATGGGGTTATGGACCATATATATACTCATTTGGTGGAATCAAAGTCATAATACTTATAAAAAAAAAAAAAATTAAATTGACCAAGATAAAATAAAAAAATACCATTCATTTGCCCAAATTACCTTTATTATTTTCAAATATCACTTTTGTTTTGAGCATAAATGTACTATTTTTATACACATAGGTAGCTCTTGTTGTTATCGATATCGTTTTTTTGTGTTGTATAAAAAATGGTGTGCATACAAGTGGTACTTCTATGTACAAAATAAAAATGGTAAATAAAAATAGTAAGATAGTTTGAACAATAAACAATATTTTTCCATGTCTACATCAACATTTTTGTCTACTTTAAAAATTATGACCTTGATTCCATAATATGGATTCATAATTCCATATATTTGTAATAATCCTTAAAACCTACTTACCAAAAGCGAATTAAAAATAAAAAAAGAAAAGAAACCTCACTTACCATATATGGAGTAATAAATTTCCTAAACCTAGGAAGACACGAAAAGTACAAACAAACCCTAATTCAAATATGAGTATGAACGAGCACGTTTGTTGTATAGGTTAAGTTGCCCTCTTTTCTTCTCTGTGCAGAACAAAAGTAAGTCCTGTGTTCATCTTCTCCACCTCAATATTTCCTGAAAACGCAAGGTAAAAATTTAAATATTTTTTACATTGTGGTGTTTCTGTTATCACACTTTGTTAATT